GTGTGTATAGATTTTGGTTTTGGTGAGAATGCGATTTTAGGAGAGAAATGAGAATGAATCTAGTGCTTTAGATTGTGCGATCTAAGGGTCCGGATTGCATCAAAATTAAGTGCAACAAAATGGTTTGAAAATGCATCACGTCGAAATGCATCATAATCCTTTGAAAATGCACTATCTCAAAATCTGAGCGCAAGATGCAATCTGAGCCGCCCGATGCATCAGATCCAACGGCTAGATTTCATTCTCATTTCTCTCCACAAGGTGCATTCTTACAAGATCCGGCCCCTATATATATATATATATATATATATATATATATATATATATATATATATATATATATATATATATATATATATATATATATATATATATATATATATATCAAGAATTCTACCAAATAATTTGACTCTATGGGCGGATCGTAAGAACAGTTAAGAAACAAGAACTCGAGAATTTATGAAATTGTACGCTAGGTTTAGCTTGAGGTTTTCTGTTCGGATCGTCTCTATTTATACATGTTCATTACATAATTAAGGTAGTTTTGCGATTATGGAAACTAATCCCGTGATTCTGCGCGATCCTCTTTCTTCGGCTCTTTTTCCACAACCTAGTCGCGTCCTTCATCTTGAAGATGGACTCTCCACTGTGCCCTGATCCGGGTCAGCTCAGGCCAAGGCTTTGGGCCACCCCAAGGCCGATTCCACCCTTCGGCTGATACCCGAACGCGTTAAATCACGTGGTTTGGGCCGCCCACCAGGTACCGGCCCATCACAAGCCCCCAAACTTCACATTCCTTAGACAGGCCACATTGAGGGATGGGGAGTTATCAAGGTCCACGTGTGCCTTCCTTCAACGGATCCCAGTCGTCCCTTGATATCCGTGTGGCGGGTTGCTCAATTACCCCAAAAGCAATCATAACCTGCTTCTTCGCCTTCCTCTCTGCTCTGATAAAACGATGCTAGACGCCTTTTCCATCTCATCATCCACCCGTTCGATCTTCTGTTGCGCCCCGACCCGTTTTCTTCATCTCTAAGCCAGTCTTCTTGTTCACCATCATGTCGTCTCTGGATTCCGATTTGCCTTCTCCATCTTTTAGTCCCTTTAGGCCGATCAACCAGCCCCTTCCGGCCACTGCCCTAGATAGTAACAACAATTTTAGGTACTCTAATTAAGCAGCTGGAATTGAAAGCATTGAACCAACATTATTCGACTTACTCTCTTGGTCTTTTTTCCAGTCGCTGCCACTGCCCTACCAGACTTTTCTCCTTTATTCTCTCTTTTCTTTTTTTCATTGATCATCTTCATATCCCCTATTTTTTCAATGTGGTTAGAACGTTTGGAACATATGAAATTCCAAAATACGCTTCTATCACCAACCAAGGGTGGAGAATAGAAATGTTTTCCGGAAGCATGCTACTTTGAATATGATGATCTTCTGGGGGATTTTGAGGATGAGAGTTTTGGTAAAGCCAATATAACCTATGGCTTAGACCATATTCATCGTTTTGTCTGGTCTCATGCTGACCTACTAGCACAACTCCATGTGTTACACATTCTCCATATACAAGAATACCCCCGTCACAATTGTCATGTGAGTGAGGACTTGTATTTGGTCTCTCCCCATACAAAAGATAATCTTTCTTGATCTCTATCACGGAGACAACATGGTGCGTCACAAGCATTTTTCTCAACGTATTAATGAAGTTATTATCCGTCAGCACATGACCCCGCTCTCCTACCCAATGAGTCAAACCAGTCAACAACGGGAACTGGATCTCGTCTCTCCCCTAGGATTATAGAGGCCTTCATCCGTCGCTTGTGTAATGAGTTCCCACGGTTTCCAATTTTTGAAGGGGTCCGGTTACTAGCGCCGATGTTTATCCTCCCACTTATTGTGGTCAAATAGGGGTTGTAGTGAGAACATAACTGGCACCAGTCCTTCTGCATAAGCAATACGCAATTGGTATTCTAATTGTTTTGAAGTTGCTGTAAATGAACATGAAGCTGGGTGGAAGGAATATCATTATAAATGTACCAATTAATTAATGACATAGAAAGAATTGAGTATATAATGTAATAGAAGTCAATATATACACAAAGAGCGTTAGGCAATTTAACTAACCTTTCTCTGAGTTATAGGAGGTGTGATGATTTAGATTCCACTCTTATTATGACGATATCAAGTGAAGCGGATGGGCATCATTCCTAAAGCAAAAAGAAAAATAAAACACTCAAATACAAAAGAAAGATTTAGATTCGGGTGTACCTGACTTCCTATCCTATGTTACCTCATACTGTAATGAACATCAGTCCATCTCTTTAAATTTAAAGAAGCAAGCATTGAATAAAAAAGAACTTTTTTTCTTAGCCAAAATCATGGCACTTTTCTGTCTGGTTTCAATTCTTCTAGGAATTTCATGTTTTTATTTCTAAAATAAGAGTTAAAATGCATTTACATTACCAATCATGACAATGTACATTATTAAAAAGTATAGTAAAATACAAAAAGATCAACTAACCAAAGCTCTTCCTAAATAATATTACTTGTGTCTTAGAGTATTTTTCTGCTTTGACTTTTTGTAGTCAAAATTTAATTATTTTTTTATAATTAATTAAATCAAATTTATATTAGATATTGATACATGAATCGTTTTATAAGATTCATCTTGTTATTTATTTTCAAAATATAATTTTATCTAATTAATGGATGATACAATTTTTATTTAGATAAAATAATTAATTAGATAAAATTATATTTTGAAAATACATAACAAGATGAATCTTATAAAATGATTCATGTATCAATATCTCATATAAATTTTATTTATTTAATTATCAAAAATTTATTAATTTTGACAAGAAAAAGTCAAACTAGACAAATATTTTAAACACAAGTAATATTATTTACGAAGAGCTTTGGTTAGTGGATCTTGTTTGTATTTTACTATACTTTTTGGTGATATACATGGTCATAATTGGTAATGTAATACATTTTAACTTTTATTTTGGAAATAAAAAATGAAACTCTTATAAAAATTGAAACCAGACAAAACATGCCATGATTAAAAGGTTCTTTTTTTATTTAATGCTTGATTCTTTAAATTTAAAGAGATGAGATGGACCACTGCTTATTACAATATATAGCTAACGTAGGATAGGAAGTGAGGTACACCCAAATCCAAATCTTTCTTTTGTACTTGAGTATTTTATTCTTGTTTTGCTTTAGGAATGATGCCTATTCACTTCACTTGGTGTCGTCATAATAAGAGTGGAATCCAATTCATCACACCTCATATAACTTAAAGAGAAGGTTAGTCGAATTGTCTAACACTCTTTGTGTATATATTGACTTCTATTACATTATGTATTTACTTATTTTTATGTTATTAATTAATTAGTACATTTATAATGATATTCTTCCCCCTCCCATAGTTTTATGTTCATTTGTAGCAACTTCAAAACAATTAGAATATCAATTGCGTATTGCTTATGCGGAAGGACTGGTCCCAGCTCTGCTCCCACTACGATCCCTATTCGGCCACAATAAGTGGGAGGATAAACTTTGTCACTTACAACTGGACCACTCCAAAAATTGGAAGGCATGGGAACTCATTACACAAACGACAAATGAAGACCTCTATAATCCTAGGGGATAGACAATATCGGAGATCCCGTTATTGAATGGTTTGACTCATTGGGTAGGAGAGCGGGGTCATATTTCAAAGGACAATAACTTCATTACTACCTTGAGAAACATGCTCGCGAGGCACCGTGTTGTCGTCATGATTAAGATCAAGAGAGATTATCCTTTCTATGGGGAGAGACTCAAATGGCAATTGTGCCGAGGATATTCTTGTATATGGAGAACACATGTGATTGTTCCAGTAAGGAAGTACGAGGCCGGACATAACGACGAATATAGTCTAAGCCCTGGGTTATATTGGCTTTATCAAAACTCTCATCTTCAAAATTCCCCATAAAATCAACCTATTCAAAGTATCATGCTTTCAGAAAACGTTTCTATTCTCCGCCCTAAGTTGGTGATATAAGCGTATTTTGGAATTTCATAAGTTTAAAACGTTCTTACTGCATTGGAAAAAATATGGGATATGAAGATCGATGAGAAAAAAGAAAAGAGAGGATAAATGAGAGAGAGTCAAGTAGGGTAGTGGCTGGAAAAAGGCCGAGAGAGTAAGTCGAATAATGTTGGTTCAATTCTTTAGATTTCAGCGTCTTAATTAGAGTATCTAGAACTAGAACTGTTGATACTATCTATAGAAAATATCTCACATTTTGTCTCCGTTGCCAAAATTTGGAGAAAATTAAACTAGCTTAATTAATCTAGCTAGTACCATGTGGTGTCCGTCTTTATATAACACAGACATATTAATTTCCATTAATAACCACTTGATGGATCTACATGGAGGGGCTAAAACCAAAATTGACTGTCTGTCTCAAGGGTACGTGCAATGGTTTTGTCAGCTGGAGGAAGGATTCATTGAAGTAAGCAAAAGGAAAGCCAACAGAAGTTTAAGCCTAGGAGGAAATGAGTTTGAGAAATCATATGTCCTTGAGAAATCATATTGCTTGTTGCAATGTGATATACAAGATCATTTCCAAACTCTTGTGCAATAAATTGAAAAGGGTACTGCTAGCTCTGATTAACTAGAATCAGGGAGCGTTCATCAAAGGCAGGGAGCTTCCTCATAACGTGCTTTTATGCCAGGAACTAGCAAGGGGGTATAAAAGGAAGGGAATCTCTCCAAGATGTTTGATGAAATTAGACATCCAAAAAGCCTATGACTCCATTAGCTGGAAGGCTTTAGAGGATATTTTGATTCTTATAAAATTTCCTGATAAATCTGTTCAATGGGTTATGTTTTGTTTTAAAAATCCACTATGCTCTCTTATGTCAATGGTGAATCTCATGGGTACATTAAGGGAGAGAAAGGTTTAAGACAAGGAGATCCCCTATCATCGTTACTGTTTGTGCTCATAATGGAATACGTAACCAGACTCCTCTAAAAGCAGGCCAAAAATAAAGAGTTTGAGTTTTACCCAATGTGTTCCCCTCTCTAGGTAATTAATCTCATCTTTGCAGATGATCTTATTATTGCTTCTAAGACTGATCTGGGAACTGTTCAGAGTGTTATGAACTCTAGATATGTTCAAGAAGTGCACAGGTCTTCAGATAACAGGGAGAAATCAGAGAGTGTTTGGAGGATGTAATGATGAGACTATGGAAAGCATCTTGAAACTAACAAATATGCAGAAGGGGGAGATTCCTCTGACATACTTGGGGATGCCTACATGGAACTCTAAGCATATCTCATATGCTGGTAGGGTTAACTTGATCAATACAGTTTTAATGGGAGTCATAACTCTTTGGTCAAGAATTTTCATACTCCCCAACAAAGTTATGAAGAGGACAAATGCAATCTGCAGAAATTTCACTGCAGAGTATAAAAAAGAGTCGTTAAACATATACCTGCACAAATTTGGGTCGGTCTGCCCACTCTGCCCTAAAAATGGATGGATATGGACGACTATATGAGCCCATCCGAGCCAGGCTGGCAGATAATATGAACGGGCTTGGGCATTAAGTTCGGCCCGTGCTGGCCGATAGGCACGCCCACATTGTATATATAAACATATAATATACACACATATATACAAATATATTATGCACACAATATATTACTCTGTATACATATGTGTCTTTTTTGTACAATACAATATACTCCGTAATATGAAAAAAGATCATCCAAAGCTGACCCTACGCCAGTCAAACACTTTCATTCACACAAGGCCCCAAAATTCTAAAAGGAATGAGGATTTGAGATTAATGAGTGAGCAGATGCAACCCATCGAATAAGGTAAATGAATTCATCAATTTATATAATCTTTATTTGATGAATTTCACCATGTCTTGCCTTTAATGGTTTTTTTTCATTTCGTTTTTAAGTTTGACGTAATAAAACCTTCTTAGATCTTCACCCTTTTCCATTGAAGCATTAATTTTTTTAACTTTTGGGTTATTGATTTAAGATTGAGGGCTAATTTTATGTTGTGCACTCAAAAGAGAAATTGAGCAAGCATTTTCTTGATCTCATTTTATATTACAATAGGTTTTTTGCAAGAGAAGTAAAAAACATACTACGAGTATGTAAATGGTTATCCATTTGATTGTCCAGTGTTATATGAAATTGTATTGTGCCTACTGCTGCTTGGAAGAATCTACAAATTTTCAAAAAAATAAATTTGTTGCATATTTTACCCTTCATTATAAATTTTCTCATTTTGATTATTTTGTATTTAAATCACAACTCTTTTTTTGTTGCATATCATCCTTAAATTTTAAAATTTGTTATTGAGAAAAGCTATGTAAGAATAAATATTAAGAATGATGAATGGATTTTAAGGGCCTAATTTTAGTTTTAGCACAGGACCTTCATAATCATTAGACTGGCCCTGAGGCCACCACTTCACTGCAGATCGCAAAGCGAATTGACAGAGAATTGGTGAGTTTTTTCTTTATTCTATTTATTTCAATTTTTAATATAAAGATACTTAGATTTGTTGATTAATGATATTGAGTTTCCAATAAAAAACATCTCAAAAGGTGGATGGAGATGGGAAAAAAGAGCAAATGAATAAGGCAATTGAAGGATAATGCTCGGTAAATTGTTGTTGTTGATTTATGTTCTTATCTCCTTTCAATTGTTATCTTAAACTCCGTGATAAACACTATAGTAAATATATACTCGAAAGAGTATTACATTTGATGGATTAGACATTCAATAATTATAACAAAGGGTTTCACATTGTTGTTTTATTTGAGGACCCAGTACATGGGTGTATCTATTGACAATTTTCTCTATTTGAGATGTTTGATATAGCAAAAATGAGTGCATTGATGCATTTCAAATATATTTGTACTCAAATGTAACATGTAAATTATTATTATTATTATCCAAATCAAACAAATACAACAATGTCCAATGCTTAACCATAATAATGGTTACATGCAAATGAAGGAAATACAAATACAGTAGCCATACTCCCAGGAACTACCAAACGGAATGTCTTAATGAATTACAATTACAAACAATTACAATGACAATAACATCAACGAATACAGGTTAAAGTTTGAAGATATGTAGCAATCCAACTGAGCCATATTAGCAGTGGTGGTCCATCCCCTCTTTAATATGCTTCTCACAGATTTAGAGGAAGCATCATATTGGGAGAGGCATTCAACAAGTTAAAACAGCATACCAAACATCTTCGAACAGTGGCAGCCATAGGTGACAGATTCAAAGCAGATCCCATCATATTCCAGGCAGATTCAAATAAGATTCCAAGCAGATTTCAGGTACTCATGTGAGGTAGCATTAGTTTCCTAAGATATTCCAAGCACTAACATGTTCCAACCATTCTTATGTTTAAGAAAAGGACATTTGGTGTATTTGTTAATCCATAAGACATTAGGCAAAAGCATCAAACATGTTACAATGAGCAGCAGCATACGGTTCAACAACAGCGTAACTCCAACCACAACACCAGCAACCTTCCATTAGCAGAAGTTTCAAACAACAGCTTCAATTTTCCTACCAGCAACACAGCATAGGGTTCCAAGTTTCAGCAAGGTTTCAGGTTCAAAGGTTCCAAACAGCAGTCTCAGTTTTCCCACAGATCCAATAATGGAGAAATCAGAACGAAAGTCAAGCAGCAGTGTTCAACTTCATAGTCGTCAAGGAGTTGAATATCAGCTTACTTGAGTAAAAATGAATTTTTACTCAAGTAATGTTCGTGAGCAGTCAGTGGCGGAGCCAGGAAATTCTTAGAGAGGGGGCGAAAAAAGAAATAAAATAAAACTAAATAAAACGATAAATATTTTTAATATTAAAGTTCATAACATAACAAATCATATTACCTCAAGTCTACAAAATCATTCTTCTAGCCTTCATTGCTTGAAAATAGTGTAGGATGTCTTCATCTTCCACACGATCAAAAGTTTCATACTCTATATAAGTTATCATACAAGCATTAAACCACTCATCACCAATTCTGTTGCGTAACTTATCTTTGACCAAGTTCATTGCTGAAAATGCACGTTCCACACTTGCTGTTGCAACCGGTAAAAGTAAAGCTAACTTCACCAACAAATACACCATCGGATAAACAATGTCTTTCTTCTTCTCAACCATTTTTCGAGCAAGTTCTCCTATTCCTTTCAAATTAGCAAATCCTTCATCATCTTTTACATCAAGAATAAAAGTCTCCAAGGAAGAGGAAAGGAAAGAAAGATCACAAGACTCATCAAAATCCATTGGATAATATGTAGCAAATTCAACCAACTTTTTTGTGTCAAATTTGTAGAAAGAATCTTGGGGATCAAGACAACTCAAACACTCGATCAACTTTGTGTTCACGTTGTCAAAACGATCATTCATCTCAAAAAGTTGTTGGTCGATCACTTTATCAAAGTACATGAACTTGAAGAACTCCCAAAACTTGAGTGTGGATGCATTTCTCCTTGATCTTCCCTTGGGACAATAGAAATCACCCATGTTTGGAATATCAACATCATGTTTCTTGCAAAACTCAGTTGTTAAATCAAGCAACACATCAAATTTAACACTTTTCAAATTCTGCAATCGAACTTTTGCAACTCTCACTAAAGCAATAGCATTGGCTAGGTCTTGATCTTTCCGTTGCAAGGATTGTGATAGTTCGTAAGTAATGCTTAAGACCATCTCCATCAAATGCAAAATGAATACAAATTCAAAATCTTCCATAGCAAACAAAATAGCACTTGCCTCCGTCCTTACCGAATCATTCTTAGGATCATTTTGAATTATATTCACCAATGAAACAATAGGAGAGAACAATGAAATTACACTCACAATTGTTGAGTAATGAGACCCCCATCGTGTATCCCCGGGCCTTCTCAAACTTG